ACTCCATCCATTTATCTGCAAATGCCATGATTTTATTCTCCTTTATTGCTGAGTAATATTCCATTGTGTGTGTATATATGCCACATTTTTTTGTTATCCATTCATCTATTGAAGGGTGTCTATGTTGGTTCCACAGTTTGGCTATTGTAAATTGTAGTATGCTATTTTTAAGTTCTTTGGGTATAGACTGAGGAGTAGGATAGCTAAGTCAAATTGTGGTTCCATTCTTAGTTTTCCAAGGAATCTCCATACTGCTTTCCATATTGGTTGTACCAATTTGCAGTCCCATGAGAAAAATGTATGAGTGTACCTTTTCCCCCACATCCTCGCCAACACTTGTTTTTTTTTTTTTTTTTCATAATAGCTGTCATTCTAATAGGAGTGCAATGGAATCTTAGAGTAGTTTTGACTTGCATTTCTCTAATTGCTAGTGATGATGAACATTTTTTCATATATTTGTTGATTTACTATATATCCTCTTCTGAGAAGTGTCTGTTCAAGTCCTTGGCCCATTTATTGATTGGATTATTATTATTTTTTGTTGTTTAGCTTTTTGAGTTCTTTATATATCCTAGAGATTAGTGCTGTATCTGATATGTGAGGGGTAAAAATTTGCTCCCAAGATATAGACTCTCTATTCACCTCACAGATTGTTTCTTTTACTGAGAAGAAAATTTTTAGTTTGAATCCATCTGATTTACTGATTCTTAATTTTAATTCTTGCGCTATATGAGTCTTATTAAGGCAATTGGGGCCTAATACCACATGATGGAGATTAGGGCCTACTATTTTTTCTATTAGATGCAGGGTCTCTGGTTTTATTCCTAGGTCCTTGATCCACTTTAAGTTGAATTTTGTGAATGGTGAGAGATAGTGGTTTAATTTCATTTTGTTGCATATGGATTTCCAGTTTTGCCAGCACCATTTGTTGAAGAGGCTATCTTTTCTCCAATGTATGTTTTTTGCACTTTTGTCTAATATAAAGATAATTGTAATTTTGTGGGTTAGTCTCTGTGTCCTCTATTCTGTACCATTGATCTACCAGTCTGTTTTGGTGCCAATACCATGCTGTTTTTGTTACTATTACTCTGTAGTATAGAATATGGCCATTTTGACAATATTAATTTTGACTATCCATGAGCGTGGGAGATCTTTACATCTTCTAAAGTCTTCTTCAATTTATTTCTTTAGTGTTCTGTAGAGGTCTTTCACCTCTTTTGGTAAGTTCATTCCCAAGTATATATATATTTTTTGAAATTATTGTGAATGGGGTAGTTTTTCTAATTTCTCTTTCAGAGGATTCATCACTAATGTATAGAAATGCATTTGATTTATGGGTATTGATTTTATATCCTGCTAGTTTGCTGAATTTATGATTGCTGAGACTAGTTTTTGATAAAAATCTTAAAAAGCTTTTCTCTTAACTGTGTTCTTATTCTACTCTTGATTTCAGCCACCTTCTCTCCTTATATACTCCAATTCAGGATAGCCTCTTTTCCAGTTCTGACCCAGTATCCTATGTTTACTTCATTTTTTTTTTCTGTATTTTATCTGGGATTTTAGAGGACAGAGCAAATATACTGTTCCAGGCCACCATTTTGATAGAAACAAAAGCCTACACACATCTCTCTCTCTCTCTCTCTCTCTCTCTCTCTCTCTCTCTCTCTCTCTCTCTCTCTCTCTCACTCTCTCTCATACACACATACACACACACTTATTTGCATTTATAAAATTATGTGCATTTATAAAATTATCTTTTTTTGAAACAAATTGGATAGATCCTTTATACGTGAATAGATATATTTATTTATGTTTGTAACATTATAGAACAATGTAAAAGGATATACAAAACCTTATGTTTCAATTTGCTTAGGACAATATTGGTGAAAGATTGCCAGATTTTTATTTGTACTACTACCCTGTATTGGGAAACATACATTGAAATTAAATTACAATAAACTGCGTTTTGAAAATAATCTGGACCAGAAGATGGCAGCATAGTAGCATATTTGGTCTAAGTGTTTTTTTACTCTCCTTCCTGCACACTAGTGTGAGTCTTGGTGACCTGCTGTTTCCCCATTTTCTGCACTTAGCTATAATAAAATAACATTCACAGACTGTATGATTCAATTCCTGTTTATATTGGCTGCTTGCTTAAAATGTCATTAGCTGTTTTTAATCTGTGTGACTAAGTCACCTAATGTTCTTCCAATGGTTGTTATCCTTTTCTTTAATTGCCACTAATATATCTTCCTGAGTTATAAGAAATATTCCATCAATTAAAAAAAAAACAATATAAGCATTTTTTGATTCTGTAATGTTCTGTTAGTTGGAAATATTCTGGGATCTTTTTCTAAGGCAGAGTGAAAAACCAGCTTCTGATCACTTCAGCCTTACCTGCGATTCCTGCAGGCCTGCTGTAACTCACACGGTTCCTATTTATTTATTTATTTATTTATTTATTTCTAATTGACAGGGACACTTGAGGGAGGAAAGTCAAAAAACGGCCATGCCATGTGGGGCTAATCTCATTCTCCATAAATCTCCTACTTTCAAAAGCAGTTGTTAAGAAGACATTTGCCTCTTCATATGACCTTGAGAGTTGGGACTTGATTTTATATACAATGTGTATTTAATGTCTAGAGTACTCAGTACCTAACACATAGAAGTTCAAGAAGTGTTTGTTAGATGCACATAAGGTGTTATGTAAGTGGTTGCCTAGAGTGCTCTAGGTCAGTGATGTTCAGTGGAATTTTCTGTATTTATGGAAGTATTCTGAAGCCACTAGTCACATGTGGCCTATTTTGTGCTTGAAATGTCATTAGTATAACTAAAGAAATTAATTTTAAAGTTACTTAAATTTAATAAATTTAAATCTAAATAGCTTCATCTGACTAATGGCTACCATATTGGAGACTACAGTTTTGGTGCTTAGTGTTGTTCTGTTCTCCATTCTACATGTTAGTAGATTATGAGTTTAACCCATTCTGCCTTAGTTGAATTCATAAACCTCTTCAAGTGGTATGTATTTAAACATTCTGAAGATAGTATACAGATACATTTGAAGCAGGATTTAGGCATTTGACGAATAAGCCATATATATATATATATCCCCACCATCTCTCTGTCTCTCTCTCTGTCTCTCTCTATATATAGATAGAGAGAGAGACAGAGAGATGGGGGGGGGAGATAGATTCTATCATAGTTCAGCCTTCAGTGTTTTTTCTCCAGCTTCTGCAACCAGGTTCAGTTTCCAAATGATCTTAATTTGTTTGGAATTTTATAGATATGAGTGATGATAGGTTTTATTTTAGCATTTTAATGCATCAGCATTATAAAAATGAAGAGAATAAAATTATTTTCAAATGCATGTTGGAAATTGTGAGTGCATTCTTTTAAATAGTGACTTTTTCCCTACAACTATTGACCTATTTTAGTGGCTCTTAACTGAAGGTTATCTTGCTCCCTAGAGGAGTTACTTTTGGTTGTTAAAACTTTTGGTGGTTAAAACTTGGTGATGTACTACCAGCAGTTACTGAATAGAGGTAAGGAATGTTGCTAGGCATTCTATAATAAACATAGCAGCCTTTTTCCCCTTTCTAAATAAAGAATTATTTGTGACAAAATGTCAATACTACAAAGGCTGAGAAACCCTACATATATTACATTGATGATCAGAGAGGATGAGTTTGAGTTTATTATCATAAATATATTCTAACATATATAAAATATATTATGAAATATTATATTTCATGGGGTAAGAGAGATTCTTACTGAATATAAAACCCCAAAGAAAACCTTAGACCACAGTTATATTATTAGCTAAATTATTGTAAAAAGAGGGGATAAAGATTTAGATGTACAGAATAAGTTTAAATTTTGTTTAATACTAGTCTATAGTCATGTACAATACTATAAGATATGCAATTAAATACATATGAAAATGATAATTTTATCATAAAATTAAGCTATTCTAAAATTGCTTTCTTATTATCTCAATATTTTCTGTAAATACAATTCTTCAAAAAGTGCCTGCCATTTTAAAATTAAATTCAAATAGGTGAGCACTCTACCACTGAGCCACAGCACTAAATAAAAATAAAATAAAGATATTGTGTCCACCTACAACTAAAAAAAATACATATTTTTTAAAAGATAATGAAATACAAGTGAAAATTAAATTTACACAAGGATTGGAACATATCTTCCTTTTAGAGCAGAAAATAGCTGCTTCTTATTAAATTCTTGTATCTTTACATTTTCAATCAATGAAAAGGCCAAGCAAATTTGCCTTTAATTTCTTAACATCAAAGATATTTTTACATAGTTTAGAGAAGAATCTGGTGAAAGGGAGTATGTGACTATTCTCCTGCTCTCTGATCCAAGGATTTAGTCAGTGCTTAAAGATATATCTCAGTTTATTTTTTAAAAATTAAAATCTGCACCATTGAATGAAAATATAAATATCAATTTATTTCCAAGTTTCAAAGAAAAGTTAAATGCACATCTAAGGGCAAAAGGGGATGGTCTCACAGCAATGCCAACTCTTATTAAGTCTTAGTTTCAGGTCTAGTGCTTCCTCTTTCATTTGTGTCAACATCAGCTAAAATTATCTTGTCTAGTCAGTGGATCAAGAGACTCTTTTTGAGGATTATTTGATGCAGAAGACAAAAACTTGGAGTCATCAGGGAAGGAAAGAATGCTCTGTCAGAAAAAAGTAGAGAATCCCTTGTCAGTTTGTACTTATCTGGTTAAACTGCCAGATTACTCTAAAATGAATTCTGGGAAAAGAAAGATGAGCAAGAGATAATCAGAGACACTTTTCAGGAATGGCAGATTTTTGTAGAGCTAACAGTATGGTCTGCACTCATGGTCAGCAAATCACTTCAGGTGACTTGAAAATATCCTTTCTTCATTTTTAAGGGGAAGGGCATCAGACCACACTTATTTGCATCTTGAACTTTATGATAATACACAAGACAACACACACTGAATACATGTTGCTAGAGACCACATATGACAATTGCAGTTTAGTTGTTGAGGTAGTTGTTATATTAGATGTTGGTTTTAGATTTAATCCAGTCCCGATAATGAGTCACTCTGGTATAAAGTCCAGGCTTGTTTTCTTTTCCACAGTCTATTCCCCAGCTTACTATTCCAATTAGATACCAGATGTTTCTACCCTGTGCAATAACCAGAGGTCCTCCAGAATCACCCTGAAGAAGAAGAAAATATGGTCATTGTGATAAATGAAAGGGTGCCAGAAATGAGAGTCAATTGGCATCTAAATAAAATCAATAATTTGAACTGAAATATGTGAAACTCATTTTATTATACTTCCCATTACTATTAATATGATAATTTATTTCTTAATGTTTTGCTAATGCCTTTTTCTCTGTCTAAATAGGAACCACAACGAGAACTATCTAGATAGGCAATTCTTTTATAAGCAATGACCTAAAAATTCAACTAACATGTCACTTTCTCTATGAAGACACTCCAAACTATTAGCTAGGAATATAATCTCTTACTTTTGAATTAGTGTCTCACTTTGTTCTAATCACACTAATTAATAGAAAGGTGTCTGGAATGTTGTATCAAATGTGCACTATTTATTACTGAAAGGATTTTGCTTGAAACTAAAGTGGAATCTCTACCCCTAATGAACCAGTGTAAAGTATCTAAATCATGAGAACTTCTCTGTGTTATCTTTAAACCAGGGTTTAGTCAAAGGATGTTAAGTGTATCTTTTAGCAATGGGCTAGTTCATCCAAAAAAATTGTCATATGAAAGTCCATTGTAAATTTCTTAAATAAGAAAAATGATCTGTTTGAGCAGGCAAGGAGTTCTAGAGTCTTATGTCTTTAGTCCCTGTCCCTTCTATTTTCATCCCATTTTCCCCTGGTGCATGGATTATGAAAATGCTGGTCTACCAAAAACAATCCTTGACTCTTAGTTCCCTCTGGCCCACTTCCTAATTTAGGTCCTCGCTATTTTACTGGGCCAATAGTGAAAGAAAGCAAGACAGAGTGAACTCATGAAAAAAAAGAACATCTGTATGTACATATACATGTGTATGTTTTTTCTAAGTCATAATTGAGTTTTATTTTTGACCACCATGTTGTTTCTCTCTCTTGGGAAGTAAAGTGAGTGTTACTAATACCTTTGTATTTTGGTATATTTAGGCAAATTCTGACATCTCTTCCTTTGTTTAAGTTACTTGTGTGCTAGATTGTAAATCCATTATGATTCTTCTAAGGTGTTTGTTTCCTTCAACAACTGACAAATGCCTTACAAGTCAAAAATTTTTTGAATGGATAAGTGAAAGAATGTTTATTACCCTCACATGACAGTCAAAGGCAGATCAATAGTGGCATGTTTGCATGTAAGAAATGTGCACATATAACTCAAATTCTCAAAGGGATGTTATTCTTCAAAAAAAATCACTAAATTGTTGTACTTAGTTTCAAATACTGTAGGTAAAATCTTTATTATTTTAGTTATTTGGTTTTAGTCCTTTAAATAACAAACTTTGACATTCTCCTTAAATTATGCTTATTGCCTAAAATTAATGTTTTGTTGGGGAAAATGCTAAGTGCATCTTTTAGTTTTTATATATGATCAATGAAATAGCACATTATTAGGAATAAATGTACATAAATACATTATTTTTTATTGGTTTCTAAATAATGTAATTCTATCTGGATGTACATTACTTAAGGTCAAATATTTAGGTACCAGTGAGGTAAAAACTTCATTGGCCACAGAGATATTTGCAGATCTCATCTCACAGCAGCTTGCTATTAGTAGTAATTAGATACCTAAATCTTGGATATGAACCTGCCTTGAAACACTGAATGTATGCTTTCTAGATTAGTTTCTACTATCTGTTTGTATTACTTCTCTCTAATCAAAGCTCTACTTTGCAACTGATTACTTTTTATTTTATATGGTCTGTTCAATAAAGTATTAAATGAGGTATATGTCTTATGATTCTTTCATCCCTTCTTTTTACACTCTCCTCTCCTCCATAAGTTAATATCATAGAATTGTGTGATGTGACATTGGTCTGTGGTTAGTAAGATCATCTTTATTCAACAGAGTCTCTTTTTTTTAAATTTGAGACTATTCTTACCTCACAGGCATCGAGTTTTCCTGTCAAGAATCCAGCACATATCATTCCTGATGATACAGCACCACCATATACCTTAACTTGATTACACATATCATTACTTATGATCTCTACTTCAACTTGTCTCAGAGTATTTGAAAGGGGACCTAAATGAGGAAAAAGGTAAATAGTTGAAGAATTTCCACTTTGTTTTTACAAAAGCTAATTATTGGGTCTTCCAAAATACAGACCAGTGGTAAAGCACTAGTTCTGAAGTTGTAAGATGCTGAGCTGGATGACAGTGCTCACTTTTTGGGTGCCTTCAATGAGTAGACACCATGTTTGACACATTTACTCCTATGATATTATTTGATCCTTGCAATAACCACTGAAGATACATGTAAATATTCGCTTTTTTCAGATGAGAGAACTGAAACTTACAAGGTAAAAAGTCTTGCCGAACATACAGTTAAGCAGGAGATGATGTTAGATTTAAAACCAGACTATTTTTTACCAGCTGGGAGAATCTGCAACAGCTTGCCATAACTTACCTGGAAACCTACTTCATTGCTTTATAAGGGACACATATGTTTTCAGAATTGGAATTTTTTTTAAAAACAAGCAGTAGTACTGGGAAGTGACTTTAGTGCTGATGGAATTCTGTTGTTTCATGAGAAAGACCATATTTACTCTGAAAACAGCTTGACTTGCTTTTCAGAACAAATACTAGAACAAGTAACTAATTCTAGGACAAGAAATGATCATGTTTTATTCATTAACTACACACTTGTTAATTCATTATAATATTAAATGTATTATTTTGTTGTATACATATTGTTTTAGCCATTATATTTTCCTTTTCCTACCTAATACCTTCTATTTTAAAATTATATTAATAATTCACATAAAGATAGATCTCTGAAATAGATTCAAAGAAAAAGGAGAAGATGAGGGATTCATTTGAGTAATAATTTGAGCAGTGAGTCAGGGCAATTCTGTGCTTAAGAATCCTGGTCTTAGAGTTGGCAGATGTAAGTTTGAACACTATTTGCACAATTTAAGAGCTATTTGACCTTGGAAAAGTTATTAAGGATCTCTGTACTCACCTGTAGACAGGATAAAATGATACCTATCTCATGTTTATTGTGGGAGTAAAATATGATACATAAAATCAGTTATGGTGGTACCTTACCCACATTCAGTTCTCAATAAATGAAAGTTATTATAATGAATTGTAGATATTAGGGTAATATAAATAAAATTCTCATGGTCTTGAAGCTGCATTTCAGTGTTAATGATGGATAGTTAGAAAGTTAGAGCTCTTCTAAGAGTTGACCTAGATTTCTGGGGTTTTTGTAAGAAACTTTTGAATACAGAAATCCAATTCTCTGTTTTGAAACTTGCAAATACATGCTCCTAATATTGACTGGCTTGCTGAAAAATTAAGTTCCATTTCTCTACATTCTTTAAAGATTATCTGGAGTCTAGTGAAATTCTTTACCTCAGTCATTATCTTTAAGCATGGAAGGGTCATTGAACATTTTCTCTTCTCTTCATCTCTGATTTTGCTTGAAATGCTCCTAGAGAGAGAATTTAATCACAAACTGCTCTTTGTACAGTTTTTTACACAGTCTGATCTATTTATTGTGTAAGTGCTTCAGCAATATTTAGTACTATTTTGCTGTCTGTAATGGCATTTAAAAAATTTTAGATATCCCCAGGGTTTAATCAACTGCATTCCAACTACTTGTAATTTTTGTGTAACAATTTTTAGTTTAGCTAATTTGTCTACGATGCTAGTTTTAAATTGAAAATGCTTATAATTTTTAAATCTCAACTTTAAAAATTTCAGTTAAAGTGCCTAACAATATAAAAAGTTATTCTATATTATCAACTACTCAAGGAAGTAACTATCTAGAAAATACAAATTTTAGTTTTGCAAACTATCTAGTAAGAAGATTTCTATTTAGAAAGACTGAATAATTTTGAGGAGGAAAGAGAAAAAATTGCGTAGTCCATCTCAGCTTTAAAATGCAGAAAGAAACCATAATAAAATATGTATGCAGTTAACGTTAGTCTGTTGTCTCACAAGTTCATAATGTTATATCTGAAAATATGCAACTTATTAGAAAAAATAGGTACACTAACCTGCATACTATTGGACTTTAAAGAATTCATAATGAAATACCAAATTACTCCCAAAGTATAACTCTGTATTGAGGAGTTACTAATTTTACATGTAAAGAAAGTGTAATGGTGCTACTCAAGTGGTAGATGTTTTCCATTTCTACTGTGACTCAAATGGCTTTAAAACTCAAAGGATTTAATTCCTCTTCCTTCTTATCACCATTTCCTATAGAACAATGCAAATGCCTCAGACATGAGGAAAAGAACTCTCAGGATATGACAATAGTGTATCAGCCTGGATTGAAGTTTAGAATTGTCAAGTGCATTTGCAAGGAAGTAAGTTTCTATAAATCTCAACTGATAAAAATTTAGTAGTCAAAGCTATGCTGTGAGTAGTACATAAATAAGATTCAAATTTATTAATAGCCTAGAATAAGAATCATTAATCTGAGGGCAAATTAAACCATAGGTAAGAAAACATTCAGCTAAGAAACATAGGAACTGAAGACTCATCAAGATCTAAAAGATTATTTTTGCAATTTATTGTCTGTTATTAAGTGGAGTAAAATATAAAAATGTAGTTTCAGACTTTAATAATAAAGTAAAATTATGAAGTCTCATACTCAAGAATAGCTGTATAGATACATGAGTCAGAAGAACCCCATTTAGTACTCCGTGTTGGGTAAAGAACAACGATTCAGATCCCTTGCTTGGGCTGTTTCTGCTTAGTTTCATGAGACTGAGGTTTATTATACCAGTGCTTGCAAATTATATACTTTAGGAATCATGCAGCCATGGTAGAATCTCTACATATGAAAGATGATAAATAAAGAAAAACATTATGTGAGAAGATATGCTTTGTTCATTTTGAAAAGATGGTTCCAACATGTTTCCAAAATAGTGTGTAAAAATGACAATAAATATAGGTATTGTGTTTTACTAATAGTAATGAAGTTTTCAAAATCCATCATATCTGTTTTAATTGTTTTGATTTTGGTGTATTTGACATGAGATGTCTTGATATTTTGATTTTATGTTTTATTTCACATCTTTATGAAAAAGGAAGCTAGGTCCAAGTTTGTATTTTTTGCTTTGTTGTTTTTACTGAGATACTCACCATTTGCCTTTAATGCTCCCCATCCAGTGACAAACACTTTACTCTTAGGCAAGACTTCAAACGTAGCATTTGGGAGACAGACTCTGTGCACGTCTTCAGAAAATAGGACTGGGGTGGAGAGCTTCACCACAGCGATGTCATCATCACGCTTGTGGGCAGCGTAGTTTTCGTGAACAATGATGGACTGCACCTGTCTTCTCATCAGTGGAGGATTCAGGGTTGTTCCAAAACTTGCCGTCCATAGTTTGGGGTTTTTGTAACTGATCACAGATTAAAAGGAGCACAGTGTGTTCATTTATGATATAGTCTAGAGTTGCCCGGACTCTGGATGGCATGGGGCACTAGTGTGAGAAAAGGGCACATTTTCAAAGGTAATGGTTGAGTGGAACCTTCTCACCTTCTTATTTGAGGTTTCTCTCCTAGAACAGCTTTACTTTCAACTAGCTGATTATTTCAACAGTCCTCATTATCGGGTAGCTTAAATTACTCCCTGAGCAAGAGTTGGAGGGGAGTTTATATTTTTTAAAGGAAAAAACATATTTTGCCATTTTGATTATGAAATAATGCTGATTAATTGAAGAAAATATAGATAAATAGGAGACATATTTGCCTACATATTTTCACATACACAAACATGTACTCATGTATCCTTGTATAGCTATATAAATATAGGCATAGCTATGGAGAGAAAGAGAAATGGGGAAAAAACTGAGTCTGGCTGAGAAAGATATCTTAGAGATATATTTTATGTACTGTTTTCTCTTGCTCCCTTTCTATTTAGCATTTTAACCAGAATATGTTCCCATTTATGTGAGTTTCACTAGGGTTACTGTATATCTTCATTATCTCCAATGGTCTCAGATGTTAAAACTTCAAAAAGCATACATGGATAAAAGTACAGCACTAAAGATGTTCATTTGGGTTAATCAGATATAAATACTATTAACAGAGCTTTAAAATATCTATAATATATCTCAGGAAAACTAGTGAAAGTGTTTAATTTTTTCCAGTGTTGGCTTGTTTCTTGTTAAAATTGAGATCACTAGAGAATATATTTTTGGGTGGAGCTGAAGATTGTCTATAAATTTTCTGCTACTCCTTAGTAATTGCCACTCTTTGCAAGCCTGTGGGCAATCATAAGTGCCATTGGGAGGTTCTGGGTGTTCATGAAGGAAATGAAAAGAAGATAAGAATTATTGGCTTTGAAAATGAGAAAAAGAGCTGAATTTGGTGATCCTGTGGAATAGATTGAGGACTTACAGTTCAAAACAGTGAGCAGCTGTCAGTAGCCACTCTTGGCTGATCAAAGATGCTCCACAGAAATGGCCCCCGTCTATCTGCAGGCTGGCTTGCCATGGCCAGTCAGCTTTATTTGCTACTTGGCCATTAGCAATTCTTTCCATGGGTGGGTACTCCTTCCCTAAACCACAACCTGTCAGAAGGAAAAAGATGTTTAATTCCAGAGTTATAGATGTGTCTAGGTATGTTTGGTACATAATTAAAGTTAGAAACATTTTTAGATGGGACTTTCCTTTAAAATTTCATTGACATTAACATTACATATAATAATAATTATTTACATTTAAAATGGGATGTTCCTATTTTAAATAATTAATAACATTTTAATAATTACTTAATACCAGATTTTATGTTTTTAAAGCAATTTCCCTTAAAATTTATTTCATATTTTCCTGGATCATGTTCTTAATGTGTAACAATTTATCTCAGTGATATTATATATATTTGAGTGTTATTTATTGCAGAAAAACAATTGTGCTCTTGAAATACTTTAAAATACACTACTATAGCATAAATTTAAGCTTCTATATTAAAGTTGGTGGATATAATTTAACATTAAGCAAAAATTTCTACTCTAAGAAAGGGAGCCAAATAAAAATAAATATGAAAAAATACAAGAAAATTGGGGCTGGGTTTGTAGCTCAGCAATAGAGTGCTTGCCTTGCTCGTGTGAGACACTGGGTTCAATCCTCAACACCACATAAAAATAAATAAACAAAAAGAAAAAAGAATAAAAAAAGAAAGGTTGAAAATATATTATTAAAAAAAGAAAAAAATACAAGGAAATTGTTAAAGAAGTCATCAGTGAAATTTTCTTGGGAGAAGAGAAAATATTGTCAAAGAACAATTCCCAAATTATTAGTAGTAATTGTTTCCCTTGAATATAATCAAATTACATATCAATTTAGAGATAATATATGCATTTGAGAAACCGTAAACATGGAAATACAGAAAGGCTAAGAATGTTGTGCTTTATTCTTTGATTTATAAAAATCTCCATGATATTTTTGAACTTACAACTGTTCAGAATATGTTCTGCTTGTGCTCCATTAATTTCTGGAAAAAAAAAACAAAATTCATTGCTTGGTGATGGAACTGTTTTAATTTAAAACACTATGCATACTTAACATGATTTTTGCTGACTGGGAAGAACTGCATTAGTCAGGAAATTCTTAATTTAAATTTAGTAGAATAAAATTCTACCAAAACAAGTGACCTACATGTAAATTAAATTCTTCCGACACATGTGGACTCTAGGAACATCCTGGCTCATGACTATAAAATCATGGGCATAGAGTAGGATATTGTTTTTCATGAAGGAGAATTCCATTGACTTAATTAACACCATACTAATTTTTAAAAACAGAAGTTAAACAAGGTGTAAGACCAATGTCACATGCTTACTCTTATATATCTAGAGACCATTTCTTTCTATATTAATTTGCATGGTTGGGTTATAGTAAAGCTATTTAAGGCATCCTTGAAGCCTGATATCTAAGTTTGGTCCAAAGAAGCAAAATAAAGGTATTAAGTGCTCCCTATGGAATCCAAATTCACCAGGATACTAATAAATCTTCAAAACATGTTACCTTGTTAGTCCTATTGTTCATAAAGTAAAACAGAGAAAGAATACAATCTGTGACTGTTTCCCCAAGTTACTTTTATTGTTCCTTATGCCGACTAGTATAATGAGAATTCAGACCCATACTGTGTTAAGATGAAAGCTGGGCTAGACTTTTGGTGAGCTTGCAAAGGAATAATTCTTTAATATAGGTCAGACTCTAAAGAGGAACATTAAGATCATCTGAAAGGACTATGCTTAGGGAGTTTGAGTAAATCTTGGAGTTAGATTTTGCCAATAATAGTGACAATTCCCTAATGGCTTCCCTAGCCTTTAGAATAAACACAGCCTTCCTTCCTAGACTATGTGACATGGTCACCATTTATGTTCTTGTTGTCATTCTGAATAGCTCTTGCTCTGAGCCATTACTCAGTGGCCACCTTGGCATTTCTGTTTCTTGACTGTGTGAAGTTTGTCATTACCTTCAGTTTTTCTTCATGATGACCCCTTCATCAGAAATGTTTTCCCTTGGTCTTTTTATGGTTGTCAATCATATCACAACTTAAAAATCCCCTCCTCAGAGAGACTTTCCATGACAACCAAATCTAACATAGTCTCCTATTTTCTGCTCTCTGCATGGGGTTTCAGTGTTTGATATTATCTTGTTTATTTAATTACTTTTTTGGTTATTATCTTTCTTACTGCAATTAGAATATTAGTTGTATGAGGACAGAGACTTCTGTTCCTGCATCAAATAGACTTCCAATACATACTTGCTAAGTGAAAAAATGAAGAATAATAACAACTACTAATTTACTGAGTCTTATGCACTAGAGCGGTGGGGTTATGGTTAGTTTACAAATCATTTTAATTTAACCCTAAATTCATTGCTGTGCATTCAGAAATGTTTGATCAACTTCTATGAAAGGGCTACATCTTATGTATGAACATTATATAGTAGATGTACACCTCTTTCAGAATGAAAAATTGAACAGCTTCAGTTCTAGAGTAAGATAGTATAAACCAACTTTTCCCTACTTTTCTATAAATATAATTGCCATTGGCATTCTGTATTTGTGGGTTGTGTATCTGTAAATTCAACCAACTTTGGATCAAAAATATTTGAAAAAGTTGTATATTATAACATATACGTTGTTTCTGTCATCCTTACATAAATAATACAGTATAACAAGTATTTGCACAGTATTTGCTGTGTATTAGGTATTATAAGTAATCTAGATATGAGTTAAAATACATTTGAGGATTGGGTAGGTTATATGCAAACACTAAACCACTTTATGTAAGGGAATTGCTACTGAGAAACAACTATATTCTGAAAATTCTTTGTTAGATAGCAGTAAGCTAGAAAAAAAAGTATAAAGTCTTCAAAATTTAAGGAAGGTCATATGGTGGAATATTTTGGTTTTCCTTTTGTTTTAAATATAGCCTAGACTGGGGACCAGAAAGGCCTACAATCTGTCATTATTAACAAGCATAGATAAAATATCCCGAGAATATTCTCTCTATCCAAAATAATGGGAAGAGGTAAAGACAACAGAGATCTTATGTTACAATTTAAGCCTGGCAGTTAATTCTTCTAGAAACAGTAATCAAAACCTTCACCATTCCAATCCTGTTAAAACCAAGCCACTGGCAGGCAAACTGAAGTACCCACAGAGACAGTGTCAGCAGATACCTGCAACCACCCACTGGCATAAGGAAACTCAAGCCCAGTTCAGCCTCCATAGAGGGAAGCCTACTGATTCAGGTAGCCAAGAAAAGCATATTCTACTCTCACAGATGGCACTGACAACAGTGATTGAGAGGAAGCCCCAGCATAACAGGGTAGCCCTGCAACTATCTGAAAACTGAACTGTCATTGAAATAACAAAAGTAGGTTAGTAAGTAATCTATATTCCTCACCTAAGTAGATTGGCTGGTAAAATGGAAGAATTAAATAGGATTAAGGGTCTCCTAAAATAATAATTAAAATATTCAGGATATAAAAATTTACTTTCCATATCCTAAAACAGAAAAAATATAATATGAATAAGACAACTACCAATGCTAATTTTGAGTCAAAAAAGATGTTAGAAGTATATGATATGGATTTTAAAGAGCTGCTAAAAATTCATTCAGAAATCAAGTATAAATTATCTTGAAACAAATGAAAATGGAAACTATCAACAAAGCACTACAAGTAATAAATAACCATGGAAAATTATAGGACTGAGAAATATAATAACCATGATAATAATACTGATAACAGCAATAACAGTAATAAACAAACAGTTTGGTGGATTATGCCAACAGTATAGGGAAAATGATAGAGATTAGAATCAGTGAACCTGAAATCAAGTCAGTAGAATGTACTCAGTGTGAAGAGCAGAGCAAAAATAAATCAGAGTGAAATGAACAAAACTTCTGGGATAGGTGGGATAATAATAAAAAAATTTAGAAGTTATGTAATCAGATAACTAGAAAAAGTGGAGGAAGAATATGGGACTTAAATAGTAATTTTTAAAAAATGGTTGAAAATTCTTCAAATTTGGTGAAATACAGAGCTTTACAGGTTCAAGAAGCTGAGAAAATGCCAAAGAGGATAAATTCAAAGAAATTTACCTCAATATCCATTATAATTAAATTACTAAAAACTAAAGACAAAGAAAAAATTCTTAAAAACAGAAATATGATACATTATCTATGAAGGTACATTATATTAAATGACAATGGTTTTCTCATCTGAAGTCATGGAAGCCAAAATTATTGCATAGTATTTTTCAAGTTCTGAAAAGAAATAACTATCAACCCTAAGTTCTATATCACGTGAAAATATCCTTAAGGAATGGAGAAGAAATAAATATATTCCTAGATGAGCAAACAGAAACTGAAGTAATATGTTTCTAACAGATCTACTCTTAAATATAGCTAAGAAAACTGTCCAAACAGAAAAGCAAATTATAACCAAAGAGGGTTAAAACTTTCAGAAAGGAAAGGCACAGAATGAATAAATGTACAAATAAACATAAAAGACTATTTTTTACTTCATGAATTTCTTTAAACATATTTTATGGTTCAAACAAAACACAACTGATATTGTGTTGGATGTATGATGAATAAATACTTAGGAAAAGTATATTTTAAAAGTGGACAGAGTAAAGATACCCAAATGGAAGTGAAGTTTTTCATTTAATTTGAAGTGGTACGATGTTGATACTTATAAGCTGTGTTAGTTACATGTGTATGTGATGACACTTGCAGCAGTCTATAAGTAAATCAAAGTGGAACTGCAAAAAAAAAAAGTTCCAGTTACTCATAGGGAAGCAAAAAGTGAGGAACTGTGGATCAAGATACTGTACAAGCAGAAAACAAATGATGAAGTGAAAGATTTAAGCCTTAACATATCCATAGTCATTTACTACAATTAAGAGACAGATTGGCAGAAAGGAATTGAAAAATATGACTCAACTATGTGCTATCTACAAGAAACTCATTTCAGACATATCTGCATATCTGAATGTGAAAAGAAAGAAAACAGTATAACAATAATCCATAAAAGTAGGGATAACTATATTGATATTAGATTTTTATATTAATATTAGATTTTGATTTTGCTGTTGATATTGATATTTCTTTGCTTTGAACTTCAGAACAAAGAAATTACTAGGGACAAATAGGAAACTTATATAACAATGGAAGGATAAATACACCAAGAATATGTAGCAATCTATGTTTGTAAATTACACAACACAATTTCTAAATAAATGAAGCAAAAGCTGAAAGAGATGAAAAAAAATATAGAAAAATCCACAATTGTAGATAGGAACTTCATTATACCCCAATTTCAACAATTAATTAATTATTACACAGAAAATTTGCAAGGATATAGAACTAATAACATTAGCAATCAATAATATCTAATAGAACTTAAAAATACTTTGCACAACAATAGCAAGAATATACTCAAAACACTCATGGGAATATTCTTCTAGTAGACATATCCTGAGTCATAGCCCTCAACATACTTAAAAGTACTGAACAGATCATCTACTCTGTCCATAATGAAGTCAAACTGAGAATCAAAACCATAAAAATAATGGGAAAATCTCCAAATGCTTGGAAATTAAAATACACTACAAAGTAGATCATTGGTCCAACAAGAAATCTCAAAGAAAATAAAAATTACAGGGAACAGAATGAATCTGAAAATAAAGCATGCCAATTATTGTTGGATGCAGATAAAACAGTTTGGAGAGAGAAATTTATAACACTTAATGTTTTATACATTATAAATGAATAATGATATTAATATTCTAAATTTCTATTTAAAAAAACTAGCAACATAAAAGAATAGATCTAAAGTAGAGAAAGGAAATAATAAAGATAAAAAGCAATCCAGATAAAAATCTTAATGAAACTGAAAACAGAAAAAATAGAGAAAAAATCATGACACACAGAAAATATGTTACAAAAAATTCAAGAAAATCTATAAACTTCTGGGAAAAATGAAAAAGAAATAGAGAAGATTGAAATCACCAATATCAAGAGTAAAATGAGGGGATATGATAAAAGAGCTTAATGAGAAAATAATATTCACTATTAATTAAGAAATACTACAAGTAACTTCATAAGTTAGATAGCTTAGAAGTCCAGATGAACAAATTGCTTTAAAATCATAAACTGTCAATCCCAGCAGTTTGGGAGGCTGAGGCAGGAGGATCTAGAGTTCAAAGCCAGACTCAGCAATGTGAGGCACTAAGCAACTCAGTGAGACTCTGTCTCTAAATAAAATTACAAAATAGGGTTGGGATGTGGCTCAGTGATTGAGTGCCCCTGAGTTCTAACCCCAGTACTAAAAAATAAATAAATAAATAAATAAATAAATAAATAAATAAATAAATAAATAAATAAATAAAAATCACAAACTACTAAAACTTGCAAAGATGGTATAGATAAACTTAATATTCCTACTAGTAAAGAAATTGCATTTGTAATAAAAAGAATCTTAAGGTCCACTTTCACTGGAGAATTTTTACAATAGTATTCAAAGAAGAAATTTTTTTCTGAGCTCATTTGGGGAGCCCAGTATTACTCTGATACCAAAATCAGACAAACAGGAAAAAAAATTTACCATTGCTCCTGAATTTAGATAAAAATTTCTCACAAAAAAATTTAGCATATACATGCAGTGTTACAGATTTCTCTAGGTATACAAGGGAAAGGGTGCAAGCGAATGAGGTTTTCCTGTAAATTTGTAACTTCCTGTGAATCTATAATTATTTCCAAATAAAACTTTAAGAAATTAAGCATAGTAGTAGAAAGTCTGAATTATTTTCCTACTCTTTTTATAGAAAATGTTCCCTAAGTATTGTCATTTGAAGAGGAAATTCAAGCGTATGCGGTCAAAAAAAGAAAAAAGTAAGAAAAAAGTAAGGGGAAAATGGTAAAATATTACTGAGACATACATACATCTGAAAAGAGAATTTTTTTTCTTGATAGTATGTAATTTAGAATATTAGTTTTAATTTTTTGATTTGTTAGGATTTCTTTCAGTTCTACTAAATATTCATTTTCCTACCTAACAAAATTTAAATAAATAGTGGATGAAGTATCCAATCCAACTGAAAAAGATAGCACTATTTTTGTTTGAAATAGAACCACAAAATGAGACAAAAGAAATATTAAAGATTAATGTTTTTAGTTAACCTACTCTAATGTTAAAGCTGCTATAAATATGGTAAATACAAAATTTAGAAGGTAAAAGTGTCAGTGACTGAAAACTGCAAATAGCAGTATTATTGTAAAAATGCTTAAAAACTTTTAGATTATGGTATTTTGAATAAAACTAATACCAAATATTATTTGATATTTAGATTTTTGATGTTTGTATCTGAAGTGATTCTGATAGATTTAGAGGAAGAGCTTAAACATTATATGACATAGAACAAACATAGTTGACATAAAATGAAGTTTTTATGACCACTATCTCCATACAATCTATTTTTCTTTTGATTATGGTGTAAACTAGAAACTTCTGTAAAAATATAGTCATTTTTAAAAGCAACCCCCAAATTACCACTTCTCGCTTTTCCTAAAATGAATTCTATGTGTTTTTTTCTAATATATTATGTGCACTTGAATGATGAAAAGAAATGAATATATATTTTAGGATCATAAAATAATTATCCAAAAATTTCATGAAAGATTATAAAAAAACAAAAGCAACAACTCAAAATACAGATTTAAAAAATAATTAACAATTTTGGCTGATTTGCTCTTTAATTGTTTTCTCTTTTTTGTTGATCTTCTTTTTAACGTAGTCACTTGGAACCACTGGGGTGAATTTTAACTTCTACAAAATGAAAATAAATGTTCACATATAATAAATGTTAAAATAAAGAACTTTATTTTAAAGTTAAAATTAATATGTTTAATCTGCAGTGTTTCTTCAAAGATACAGACAACTGTTACTGTAATCTACATTATATTACCTCAGAAAACTAAACTCAAAACTGACCCTCATTCTTTATTATAATCTTATAAAAACATTTTAAATGATTTAGCTTAATACATTTCTATATTGTTTTTTTTTTGTGTTGGGCTTTGTATCCAGATAACTCTTATAATATCCATTTGTGGGCCCATGTATGTGTTTTACCTCTTCACGTATCTTTCAAAGACAAGGTAATCAGTTCTCTAATTTCCCAGAATCAAGATTGTTAAAAATAAATACATGAGAAAATATGTAAACAATATATTAAATCAATTTATTTGTCCTTAAAACCTAAGTTTTTTTACACCTTCTTAAAGAATTAGTTCCATAGTTATTAATGAACTTCATTTCGTAAAGCAGACACTGAGACATAATGTTTCATCAACTTCTCTTAACTAACCTACTATTGATTTATCGTGGGGATTCAGGTCTTCTGAGTCTTGATCTAGAGTGCTTTCCTCCATCACTCAGTCTCTCCTACAGTGCATTTCATGCATTTGTTTCTCTATACTATATGCAGTAGGCCCTTCACACCTGCAGGTTTCACTTCTGCAGATTCAAGTAATGGAAAATAAAAAATACGCAGAAAAAAATTTGTGTCTGTACTGAACACATACAGACTTTTTTCTTGTCATTATTCCCTAGAAAATACAGTATAACAATTATTTATATACCATTTACAGGGTATTAGGTATTATAAGCAACCTAGAGATAATTTAAACCATAGGGAACATTATGCATAAGTTATATGCAAATACTACTGTATTTTATATAAGGGACTAAAGCATTTCCAGATTTTGGTATCTGGGGTCTGTGGAGGGTACTGGAACCAATCTCCCAAGAATACCAAGGAATGAAATATATTTAAATGTATTTACTTAATAAAGCTCAAGTTTGTGTAAAAAATATTAAAGTATAAATATCTCATTTGTTTTTTTAATACATTTCTAAGACTGTCGAAAAAGGAATGATTTCAGATTACTCATATTCTTTACTAATTTAAGACTCCTTTTTTTTTCTTGCCCACTTTCAAGGGACTGTGTTAATTTACAGAGTTAAAAATCAAACATTTTACAGATACTGAGTTCGTACCCTATGTGGAGTGTTATTCTAATTTTGGGATGGTCTTATGACTACAGAAGTCATAGTTCCTACATTCAAGGAATTATAGGCTTTTGCAAAGAGATGAAACAAAACATACAATCCAAATTGCCAAGCATCCTTGTGAATCATAGAAGTATTAGGAAGAATTACCACTCTGAGGGGCTTTTGATGGGAATGTGGATGTCTAACAACTTGTTTAGATAGGCAACTGAGGATATGGCAGTAAAGAGATCAGCAGATGCCTGAATGAACCAAGAACTGCGACCTAAACCCCCTAACCCTCATCCAGCAACATTGTGAAGGGCCTAGATCCCCATAATATCCTAGGGGTGGGGGTAGATTCAGAAATGAGGAATTTATGTTTCTAACATTGGACTTAACAGGAGCTCAACATCAAAATTAAAGTTCTTAAAAGTAAAGTTACTTTTTCACACATACCTGCATCTTCTCAACAAAATCTTTCCTTGAGGAAGTCTTATCTCTGCTGTCTAAAGTTCAGTGCATAGATTGAAAGTCCACTATGTTTTAGCTGCATGACTAATAGAACTAGATGTTGGGCATTACAGAGACCTCAAGTTCTTATCTTCAAGATATTTTTTCTTCATTCTGACTTTGGCCAAATATGTAATGTAATTTTCTCCCTTATTAACATAAGGGCTCTAACCCTCTGAAACAGTTTCGGGAAGAAGTACAGAAGGAAGATTTATTGGTAGGTTGTAATTTTCTATCAGACTTCTAATCTTGTTTTATAACTTAAATAAGTTCTGGTAAAATATGACAGCTTTGAAGATAATTCATAGGCTAGCAACCATCTGCAAATTATAATGAACTTTGTTGAATCTCATACCCCAAACATTATCAACCAGCTTTTTATGTCTGTGTCTAAAGTGAGATAGCGTATTTATGCTTGAGACAGGGCATATCAGTGTCTGGCATCTCTTTTCTCTTGCCAACTCCATGTCCTGACCTAATCCTATCCTGTGTGATACAGGAAGAATGTGATAGGGTAATCTAAAATTGTCAGGTTTTTTTTCTACTTGAGCCTATATCATGTTTATTTTCTATATATTGTAGTTCATGTGTCTACATCACTCTAAAATATGGATTCAGATTAGAGAAAGCATTGGAAAATAGCCAGTCTTAACAGATTACTGTATCGAAAGCAGAATGTAGGTTTGCACCCCATGCATGCTTACTCCAAAGAATTTCACCAACATTATTTAAAAGGGAATAAGTACCATTGTATCATCACACAATTCTTTTTTATATTTATTTCCAGACTAGAAGAAGGAAGATAATCTTTGGTGTTGTATGGAGATTTCTTTATTATCAAGTCACTAAGATCCTTAAATGAAAGTGGTTTCATTTTATGGTGAAATAAAGATAATTTCTCTATTAATGAGCAGATTGTTAAAATCATTAAGAGAAGAAAAAAAACAGTATTTCTTGCCTCTAAGATAAGGTAATGAAGGGTCTTTCTTCAAGAAGCTCTCATTTGAGTTCAACATCCTGTGTAAAATTTCATCAGCCTGCCTTTTTATAGTGTTTGCACTGGTAGAAGTAAACTGAAATTTAAGCAGTACATCCACTTTCAAACCCTTATCACTTGGCCTGAAAAACAAAACACCAGAATGAGTGAGGTCATAGTCATAGTAATTATTATGTCCTACATTTATACTTAAATATCTTTAAGAAAGTACAACATAAATATTCTAGGCATTTTATTGTTGGGATTTTTCTACTTTCTATATTAAACAGATGTCAATTCCTGTATTGTTCCTTGCTTAGAAAACTTGATGACATTCAGGGAGAGGAGAGTTTCTAAAACTTCTAAAATTTTTCCTGGTAAATAAATAAAAAATGCTTGTTAAATCAACTAATTTTGTATGTATATCTTATACATGTAAATATACACTCATGTTTATAAAAAATAATAGTCGCTTATTGTAAAAAAAATTCAGTAAAATGAGAAAAGTACTTAATGATTTTCAGAATCTTCAATTGAAATGCTAATGTCTCAAAAGGACAACAAATAGAATATATTTCATAATTACTCAAGAAACACTCCCACATAAATACATTATATATGAAGAATAACAATTTAATAATACTATGCTAGTTTTTCTCTTGGGTTTCTGAGATCTTTAGGTCTTGTCCACAAAGAAAATAACGTAAGAAATGTGATAACTCAAAGTTGCCTTTTCTATCATACAAATTAATTATTTGTAATTACCTAAAGTTGACAGCATGAGACTTGATGTAATGGTGCTTTAAATTGGAAGTTTGAAATATCTTATCTATCTGAAGAAAGAACAAAAATCAGAATATAATTGTGTTAAATATGAATTTGAAGCATTTCAAAACATCACAAAAATGCTTATTTAACGTCTACTGTGATACAAATATTCTTTACTTCCATATTGTTTGTTATTACCAAAGAGCTCATTTGGGCATAATCTTGTTTTCATAAAATCATCCCTGTAATGGGATATTGATATTTGAACAACTTTCCATATGTTCAAAGATGATCAAAATAAAGAGTTAAGTATTTCAACAATCATTATAACATACACAAAGCATTGGAGAATGAGTAGCTTTGACAACTTGATATACATGGACTCATTACCTGCTCATCAGTCAATGTTATTCAAACTCAGTTATCAGTCTTGTGGACGTGATTGAAGGATCAGGTTTTAGGTTTTAGTGAAACAATTTAGGTCAAATTTGGATTCTGTGGTAAATGAGGAGGGGAAGAGAACATGTAGGTATTGGACATTTCTCAAAAATCAATTATTTAGCGTGAGAAATGCATGAAATGATTACTTGGATAAGATTATGAATGCCACTTGTGTGTTATTTTAGATTTCCTCATGAGGTAATTTCTCTGTGATACCCCCATAAAATTGTAGCTTGTATAGGACCTGTGGTCTTACAAGCCTATGTATTACCATTGGCTCATTGAGCCGGCTTCTCAAGAAAACAGCTGATCATATGCCAAACATTATGTGAACCCAAGTTTGAATAGCTAATTGTACAAATCAGTAAAGAGCTGCAAAGTTGTGAAACAGACTGTGTATCAAAAAAGTATTCTTTCCACTCATCTAATTTAATATTTGTAACTTTCATAGAGAAATGTTGTGTGATATCATACTGGACAGGTTGGTGAGAAGTTTATTAAGAAATCAATATTCATTAAAAAACAAATGGCCATGTGTTTTCTTTTTGACCATGAAGGGAAACTTTTTTAAGGAAACAGTTTTATATATACATATGTAGTTTATATAACAAAACTAATACATATGCATTATGAAAATATTTATAAAGTAATCAATATATAAAACTATGATAAAAAGCATTAATACCACTTGTAAAGAAACTATTATTTATGTTTTTGGAATGTGTACTTCCATATTTAACATACAAATACATTATTGTTATATACTGTTATACAGAATATTGTCTACATTATTGAACTTTAGAAGAAATCTATAAAATTCAGTTTAGGTATTTGTTTTAATCATTTATTTTAGGAAAATATATACTGTAGCTAAAACTTATACTGTAAATCAGGAGTCAGTAAACTATAATCAAACGTCAACTATTTTCCTGCCATAGCTTTTTTTCTCCCATGGTCTAAGAATGGTCTTCACATTTTTTTAATAGTTAAAAAAATTCAGAAGAAAAATAATATTTCTGACATTCAACATTTTTACAAAGTTCAAATTTTTCCAGTGTTCATAATAAAGTTTTCTTATGTATTTTCTGTGACTGCTTTCACACTACAATGACAGCTATAATTACACAAAGACTATATAATTGCAAAGCCAAAAATATTTATTTATCTTGCATTTTACGGAAACATTTTCTGACTTCTGGTCTAAATTATTGCACTTCCCTTTTTATATTATCTCCACTTATACTTTAGGGGGCAGGACAAATAATAATGAGTTGGTCATTTAGTTATTAGTTATCCCCTTGATGAAATCATACCATATGTCAGGTACTGAGAGGCACCAGAAATACTAGAAGGAGACAGCCCCAGCCTGAATGAATTCACAAGTCCAGAGGGGGCACAGACATAATCAATAATATATTACTGTAAGGTGTTAAGTGCTCTAGAAAAGGGATATGAAATTTTTGTGAGATGCTAACATTAAGATATTTTGTGATTTTTATTCAATGTATGAATTTATCCTTAGAAAACTCTTGAGAGGTGGGTGACTTTATCTCCAGTTTAGAGTTGAAAATTTGAGGAGTCAAATCACTTTTTTTTTTTAAAGTTGTTAGGGTGACAGGATAAGATTGTAATGTAAATCTAGATGTTTCTGACTATATGGATTTGGGTTCAATATATTAGTTTCACATATAAAAATATTACAAATGCCAACCTGCTTTTTTTTTTCTCCTCCAATCAAAATTTCTTAGGATTTGGTTTTGAAAAGAAATTCCCATCTTACTGAATTACATTGTTCAACTCATTTCATCAACTTCTACTTCTGATTGTGAAATGAGTGAAGAAATATTTTAAATAAGGCAGGAATGATCTTCAATCTCTCATCAATGCTGAGTTCAGTAAAGCCTGTGGATATAGCTAAAATCTTCAGGGAAAGAGCTGTTTGGTGTGTTTCTGGGGTATATTTTCCAGAGTAGGTGTTCGAGGTAAGTTGCCTAATAGGAAGGGCAGCGAGGTCATCCACAGAGTGTCTTAATAAATGGTGTGTGGTAATGTTGTTTGTACCTAAATGATTCAGTTGTTTTTAGATGACTCATAATATGTTTTATATTCCAGCTATTCATTTTTCTGTTGGACTTATGTGTTTTAATCTCTCAGTGCAATTATCTTTTGTTCAATGTATTTTTTTCTAGACTTCCTGAGATAAAATTGGTTAGAATTTCTTGACTTGGGAAATGAAAATAAAGTTAAATTTGAATTTCAGATAAACAATGAATGATTTTTAAACTACAAGTATCTTTCAAGACTACATTAAGATATTTTTAGGAGGTCCTGAAATTTAACTGGGTATTGAATATTTTAATTGGCAACTCAATTAAACACTCTGAATTTGCCTCTTGCTATCAAAAAATTGGGACATAAATCTAGATTTTTCTGACTTAAAAGTTTGGACCGTCTCCCATTCAATGTATTACTTTCTCTAACAAAATATTCTGTACTCTGCCCTGTTTTCCACCCCACCACTACAACAATGAAAATTTCAGAGTAGCAATGATGCCAGGAAAGCTCAGACTTACCTCATTATTGATTTTATTTTTCAGGTTGGTCCTAATTTTTGAGTGTTCTACAGAAAAATCAGGACTATATTCAATATTGGGAATCTGGAAGGAGGCCTGGTAATACTGAAACTTCTGATCTGGAAGTACAAACAAAAACAAAATACTTATGTCTAGTGTATTTGAGTTGTATACACATAAGTATAGGGAATGAAAACAAAAAATATGGGGGATATGATTTACCCCCCATAGATTCCTATGCTGGAAATCTTATCCTCAAAGTATCAGTATTGAAGCGTGGGAGGACCTGTAAAAGGTGGGGCTTAGTAGGAGGCAATTGGGTCATGACTGCTCTTGAGAAGAGATTAATTCTGGTCTTGAAGAATGGGTTAATTTTTAGAGGAGTGGATTAATTCTTGTGAAAGTGGGTTGTTACAAAGGATCAAGACTGGCCACTGTGCCCCCCCCGGTTTCTTGCTTTCTCCCTTGCTCCATAATCTCTTCTGCAGGCACTACTCACCTCTTATATGTACTCCAATGCTGTCCACTATGTTGTTATGTGACCAAGGGTCTCTTACCAGGTACACTCACCCAATCTAGCCTTCAGAATAGTGAGCCAAAATAGCCTCTTTTTAAAGTACCCAGCTTCAGATACTAAAATTGCTACTAAAACATTTTTTCTCCCAGCATGTTGAATATTATTGTACCATAAAGTAACAGCATGTAAATATGTACATTGAGATATAATATTGTTTGAACCACACTAGATTTTAAATGCTGGAAATAATTTTTATGCATTAAGGATTATTATTTCCCAAATGTATGTAAAATTATTCAAATGCAAATTTCATTCTGAAATATTAGAAAATATTAAGGTTTTAAAATAGATCATCAGATTTCCAAAATAATACAATTGGATAGATACTTACCATATGCCAAAAAATAAACAAGGAGACCAACAATTATTGCCAGAGCTAATACGACAGTTGTGATAATAATGGCAATCACCCATGGTTTCAATGAACTTCTTCTTCCACTTAGTATCCCTGGTCTTTTGAGAAAGATATACATATTAAAAACAAATAGGACTTTATGATTATTCTTTTTGGTGTAGAATATTGTTTTCTGGAATTCTTGGTTCATATTATATTTGTTAACATTTGGATGTGTTATTCTGTAGACTACTGGAAAAAATTCTATGAAAAATTGAATTGGCATTTAACTTTATATTTTGACTTTAGAAAGTTAGCATTATACTACAATGAACTGTTATTTTACATACTTTCTGGTGCATGATACTAGATGTTCTGAATTTTAGTATTTTTGTTAACAAACTAATATCATATATTTGGCTCATATGCTTCAGATCATAATGATCCTCAGGGAACAAAAGCATCTCAGTCACTCTTCTAATTCTACCATAAACAGACAGAAGTACAGAGATTACTGAAACCTAGTTAAATACTGACAAAGCCAGAAATATTGGGCTGTTAGAGCTTTGTTTCATACCTTTATACTTAAACCTATGGCTCCCATTTGTAGGAGGTACAATCTATGATGCATATGAAGAACATCTAAAATAGAGGAGATTTAAGAAAATAAAATAGAAGAAAAAATAACTAGAAAAACCAAGAAAAAGTTACTGATATTATGAACAAACAAGTCAATAGTGTTAACTTGAGACATTGGACCCAGGTACTCTGGTATGATATAATGAGTTATCTATCACATAGGGTTACATTTCAAGTCTGTGACTTTTTTATAGATGATATTGCTTAGAATAAAGTCACATTTATTTGAGTAAGCATAAAATAAATTTAAAGAAAAATATTAAGGCAATAATAGTTTCAGTGACAACTATGTGGTAAAAAAATATGTGGTTAAAAAAATGTGTAAGCAAATTGACTGATATTTTGGAGACCCAATGGCAACAGGGTAATGTGACAAAGTTCTGTCCCATGCCAGTGGCAGGGCCAACAGTCTGAAAGAAAAATATGAACAATCATGGAATTGAGGCAGGCTAGCATAATGCCAATATGGGTTGTCCATATGAGGTCTAAACCATAGGGAAAGTGGATAGGAATATGGTTCTGAGAATTTGAGGTGCTGGTTTTTGCTCTGTCAAAATTATACATGAAGAAGAAGGAATTACTTTTCTTGGATTAATGCCTGGTAGTAGTAAGAGGAAAGCAGGCCCCAATAAATAATTGAAGGAATCAGTTGAGTTACTCCTTTAGGCAACAATAAATTGGAAGGGGTGAAAATGTCCTTGATGTCCTTGGATTTGGGTAAAGGGGAATTCATAGGTTTTCTTTCTATACCACAACCATCAACTAGAGCTCTGCTAAGTAGTCAGGTAGCACTAATTCTGAGTTCAGCTTGGTTTCTGAAAAGATCTAGAGTCACACTGATCTTTAACTTTTTGGTTGGCAGCAAAACAAAAGCATTACAATCTGCAAACATCTGAAAAGTCTTAAGAAGAATGGGAATGAAGCTGGGCACAGGCAAAAGCTGATGGAAATACACATCTCCTTTATTAATAGAAGCCATGGCAATCATGAACTCATTCAGTTAATCTTTAGTAAGTTTCTTTTGCATGCCAATTAATCATCTGCTACAGATTCAAAACAATAAAGATACATTCTCTTATATTTAATGATGTATAATCCAGGCATATGAAATAACTACTATAATGAAAGTGCTATATGTTATTGTGGAATTATGCCCAAAATACTATCAAGATGAATGGATACAAATGGTTTTTGCCTTAGAGAAGTTGTCAGATGAACTGGGCTTTGAAGGCTGATGAGGAGGAATTAACTGCAAGGCCAACATGTACCTCAGGAAGAGAGAACATAAGCAAAGACAAGGGGACATGAGAACCTAGGACAAATTCAAGAAAATGGAATATGCAGATGAGATGGTAGGAAGACTTAATTAATACACTTATTTATTAATTGGCTCAACAGGTATTCATCAAGAGTTATTATATACAAAACATAGAAGATGGAGAAGAATCTTCAGTAGCTCTTCTCTTAGAGGAATAAATAGTCTTTTAAAGGAGGAGTACAATGTACACAAACTGCTACCAGAATTGCAGAAAATTTAGAGACTTCCAGAGAAGAACCAATACTTCCTTTTTAGAGGAAGTATATAAAAGCCATTATAGTTTCCATATGAGGTGTCTCACAAAAGCTCACGCAGAGACAACACAACAAAGTCTAGAGGTGAAATGATTGGCTTGTGAGAGCCTTAACTAATTGGTGCATTAATCCACTTAAATGGATTAACTGGGTGATCACTATAGGCAGATAGTGTGGCTGGAGGAGATAGGTCACTAGGGGCATGACTTTGGGGTCTAGATTTTGTTCTTGGTGAGCTGACCTTAGTCTTTCTCTGCTTCCTGGTGGCCATGTCCTGAGCAGCTTTCCTCTGCCACATTCTTTTGCCATAATGTCCTGCCTCACCTCAGGCCCAAAGGAATGGAGTGGACATCTGTGGACCTGAAACCTCTGAAACTGTGACCTCCAAATAAACTTTTCCTCCTCTAAAATTAATCTTGTCAGCTTTTTGGGTACAGCAGTAATAAAGCTGACTAAAACAATGACTAAAAAAATAAATATTTTTTTAAAAGTTTAAAAACACTGTCCCCACCCTCTTAATGTGTTTGTCTCTGAGTCAGATATAGAAAACAATTCATAAAGAGGAATCTTGTTTTGCAACAACATTTATATCTTCCAAAGGATATGATTAGCTATTGAATTATTATCCTTCTAACACCAGAAACATCACTGAGACTAAACTACAGTCTCAGGTGTCACAAGTGAGAAAATGTTTCAGTTTATTTCCTTAACCATGCAGAGACACTCTAAAATATTTATTCCTATTTTTTTAAATGAAATATTTTTCTCCCTATTTTTTTAATAAGAACCTGTTTAACTTAAACAGTGGCTAATATCTTTTTTGTTATATATATAATATATATATATATTTATAAATATACTTATATATACAAATATAAATAATATAAATATATAAATATAAATATTATAAATGAATATATTTATAATATTTATATTTATATATATAACAAAAAGATATTAGCCACTGTTTAAGTTAAACAGGTTCTTATTAAAAAATAAGGAGAAAAATATTTTATTTAAAAAATAGGAATAAATATTTTGGAGTATATATATATATATTTATATATGATAACAGAATATATATATTTATATATATGTTTATATATAAATATAAATGCATATTTATATTTATATATGATAACAGAATGTATTACAATTCTTATTGCACATATAGAGCACAAATTTTCATATCTCTGGTTGTATACATAATATGTTTACACCAATTCGTATCTTTATACCTGTACTTTGGATAATAATGGTCATCACATTCCATTATCATTAATAACTCCATGCCCCCTCCCTTCCCCTCTAACCCCTATACCCTATCTGGAGTGCGTCTATTTCTCCCATGTTCCCTCTCTCTGTCCCACTATGAATCAGCCTCCTTATATCAAAGTAAGCATATGGCATTTGTTTTTTGGGAGATTGGCTAACTTCACTAAAAATTATCTTTTCTAACTCCATCTATTTACCTGCAAATACCATCATTTTATTCTCTTTTATTGCTGAGTATATTCCATTGTGTATATATGAACAGTGGCTAATTTCAGTGGCTGTTCTAGACAGGTGGAAGCAATGCCTCTTAGGAACTTGATAAATATTTGTCTACTGAATAAAGAATGTACAGTAAAGTAGAAGACAGTCATAAGCTATTTTGTAACACAAAATCATAGAGTTTTACTGGAGATAAATTTCTTTATCCATGGTAGGAGGAAGATGAAAGTAAGCATTTATCTGGAATCAAGTTACAATTATAATTTTATTTATAAAAATCATTCTCTTTTCTTTCCTTCTTGGCTTTTGCCTTCCTCTAATCCTTTCATTTCCAAGCATTTAGCTTTGGTCAGACTATGCCAGTGAGAAGACTAAGCGGGTTCATTGTAACAGAGGAAATTCTAGCCTTAGCATAACATCTGATACACAAAAAAGGAAAAGCCATAAGTGACCTCATCCTTACACAGTGTATTCATACCACCATGAAGGTAAGCATGATAAAAACTATCCATTGACAAAGAGTCAAAGCATTTTTGAAAAGCATTCTCCTTTTAATTCCATCCCTACCTTCATTTAAATTCCAAGTGATTCACTGTCTAAACTGTCTCAGGGTCGTTTTTATAGAAACAAACTTCAGCAGGATAAAAAGCACTCTTCTCGCTTTTTCAATATGTCACTTTCTTTCAATGTTACCATACTTTACTAAGGTACATCTTCAGGTTCTGTTCCCTTAGATAAATCTTACACCTGTTCTAGCTCCTGGAGATTTTCAAATGCTATTTAACCAAAATGCTGTCACCTAGTGATTTAGAGATGAAGAATAAAGGCATACAGTGAGACTTTCATAAAATTGGTCATGTAGTCACAAACACTAAAAGTAAAGAAAGAGTAAATGAGACTTGTTTTAAATGAGACTTGTGTTTTCTTTTTCTTTTCATGTTCTGGCAAGCTGTGTACCTTGTTTTCATAGTTCCAGAGTGTGCAAATAAGAAAGACATAATATTTCATAGTTGACAAGTTGGAAGGAAACAGGGTTAAGAAAAGCTGGGGAATGAGCAACCAGGTGGCAGAAATTAAAATATTATTAAAATAACTGATGTTTTAGTAGATAAGAGTTCAAAAGGGAATAATCAAGGTCAGAGAGTAGTGCTACCCAAATTCTCTGTGCATTAATACAAATTTATTGAAATCATCTTAGGAAAATAGTGTAAGGAAATTTCAGAGAATTGAGATATTTAAAACCCAATAAGGGGCTGGGGATGTGGCTCAAGCGGTAGCGCACTCGCCTGGCATGCGTGCGGCCCGGGTTCGATCCTCAGCACCACATACCAACAAAGATGTTGTGTCCACCGAGAACTAAAAACTAAATATTAAAAAT